TAAAGGTTTTTGTTTAAGGAAATAATATGCCACAGCTCTTGGTTAATATATCAAACCTCCATCCTGTATTCATAACGTCCTTAACCTGAACTTCTATGAAAGCGTGTGATAAATGTTGTGACTAGAAGCGAGGTCAGCAACACGGTGCCTATGAGGACAATGGCACTTGTCCTCCACTGGATCCCCACTTCAGCTGTCAGTTTCCTGCCGCCATGTCCACCGCCTGTCTCTGCAGTCACATCAGGAGCTTCTCTTCCGCCAGCATCTGCTGTGCTTCAGAAGTGCTTGAGTGCGTCCTGTACAGTTGCACTGCCCCATTTGCCAACAGCAAAATGCTGGTGGTGGGCAGGTAGATGATTTGCAGGGAGCAAAGGGGCTAATTAAAAAAGAAAGAAAAAGCCAGCCAGCTGGAAAAACAAGAGCAATTCCTGGGGCAGCATGTTTGATGTTATCCAGTCTGGGAGCAGAGTTGCAAGAAAAGGGGACAGGAGAGAGAGAGGGCTTGGACTTTGGGGCTGGTCCTGGTTCCTGTATCACCGTCCTGCAGATAGGATTTTGCTTGCTGAACTCTACAGAGGCATCAGTGCCCTGAAGATGATAACTTTGGTGCTCTGTCTCGGTGCCAGGGAGTCACAGAACGTATCCTCTCCGTGTTAGATTGGCCAGCATGGAGAAGATGAAAATATCCCTGTGTTTTACTCTCTGTGAACGGCAGTGCGCATGATACCGGTTCCTAGCAGGACTCAGACGCGATCAAAGACATCCTTTCCAGAAACCTAGTGTGTTTGCACATATAGGGGAGCAGAGTAAAAATTTCCCCAAGCAGCAGGGGTGTAAGAGAAGAAAAAGATAAGGATAATAAACCTAATTAATTAGACTCCCTGCTTTCTAGTGAAAAGCCCTGACTTTTTTTTTTTTTTTTACATTAGACTAGGATTCAGAGATATGCAGTTATTTTATGGCACAAAAAAGAACTGAATTATAAGCAGGTATTTGAAATTATTTTATTAAAATAAGTAACATATGGGTACACCTTCACCCAATCTTATTAAAATGGAGGAAAAATAGAATTAGTTCACTACATTCATTGGCAAAGGTTCTGTCTTCCCTTAAATACCCTCTGAATGAATCCAAAGGAGTCCACAGGAATATTAAATGAAAGCAGCAGTAAAACAGGTCTGTTTTCTACTGCTATATTTTTCTGGCTTCTGTATCCATTGCAGCACATTTAAACTCTAATGTTTTGAACTTACTCAGTGGTTATGATAGGGCAATCTAACTTCCACAAGGACCCCATCTCAATGCGTCTTAGTAAACATTGAGCTCTACCAGAATTTCCAAGCATGTTCTCTGGTTATAACAGGGCTGGGACAAGCTCCGTCAGCACCCCACCCTCCAAGAGTTTGTGGGCTTCCTCTTGGCCTCGGCCTGGTCTTCCAAAGTGGGGGGGGGGGGGACAGGGGATAAAGGAAGCCTGCAAACACTTGTAGAGCCCCAGTTGTGCCGATTCTTCTGCATTAGCTGAAGGGGTTGCTTTCCTGTTGACCCCTTGCGAAAATTTGTGAAACCAACCTTCTTGTCTAGCAACACTTGGCTTGGGTGACAAGTCCCCAGGTTATTGGCATCAAAGGCCCCTGAGGGGTCCATGCCTGAGTTCCTCTGTCTCTCTCATGAGCCATCCAACCTAGACCTTCTCTCCTAAACTGGTCCTAACTCTGGGCTTCAATGGATCCCAAAAAAACAGCTTCACTCAAGAGCTCCTGAGTGGATGGGCAACCGCACACTCAACCATCTTGTTCAAGAAGGCAGTTAGCAGCTGGTGTACAGGAAGTCTTCTTTGCTAGGCCCATGCTAGGCTTCCTCAGAGGGGAGTGTAATTTGATGCTCTTTCATAGAGCTCGGTACTGCTCCTTTCTTAAGGAGGCTTTTGTAAGCTCCTGGCCACAAATATCACCTGTATTATATGTAATGAGTTAAGACAGGCAAGATTTCAGCACATGTGTGGTTGCCCATACTTGTCCAAACACCCCATCTGCATCCTCAGGTTTCAGCAGCTGGCACTCCTGTAACACAAGTAGACCTGGCATCCCATGTGGTGTAATGGTTAGTGTTAGAGTGGGACTCAGGAGATCTGGGTTCAAGTGCCCATCATCTATGAAGCTCACTGAGGGACTTTGGGCTAGTCAGGGGCAATCAGCCTGAGCTACCACACGGGGTTGTTGTGAGGATTAAATGAGAGGTGCTTTGGTTTCTCGCAAGCGGAAAAATGTCATGTAATAATTGTACTCGAGATACTGCTGTTAATGACATTGTTTTAACTTCATCGTGCTGGATAAGGGAGATTTTATCTTCCAAGTGCCATGCAAGCATGCCATAGCTAGCTGTCGTATAAATTCCCTTTCAGGGTGAGATTGTAACAAAGCTTTCATCACCCAGAACAACTCTGCTGTATTTTCTCTCAAAATATATCTTTCATTTAAATGCATGTCCTAATACATTTTGTTTGCTGAGAACTATGTTAGAATACATGAAAATGTGTGAAATCCAGTGGATAACTGAGTTGTATTTCCCGTAATAGCTCAAGGGGTGCAGATGGTGTCATTTTGCAAGGGATTGCACATAGTCTTGTACATTTTCTCAAGCAAACTTATCTTAGACTTCTTTTTTATTTCACTGAGCAATGAAATAGTTCAGGTTTGCAGCCTTGGCAAGCTTGCAATGAAGGGATGCTAATATTTCGCTCCAAAAGCAGTGTGGCTACGACAGGCCAGGATGGTCCCAATCCAGGGATTCCGTTGCCACTTTTGCCACCCAGGGAGGCAAAGATATGGCCGGAGTCAATGGATCTCCTTTTCCTACTTGGCCTTGGCCAGGAAGCAAGCTGGGTCAAGATGCAGTCTGTGAATGCTCGGGAACGCTAGTGGCGTCTTCGTGCTCAGTAGGCAAAATATACAAAGAACATAAGCCGTGTGTATGGAAGAAGAGCTCCATTTGCACAAAGGTGCACAGTTGGTGAGTGTAGAAGCTGTCCTTGCTGACTTTCTGGACTCACTTCCTACCAGGTACCCAGGTGGATGCTTAGTGCAAGACAAACTTAGAGAAAAGAGAAAGTGAGCCGAACTCCAGGGAGCCGAGCAGAGGAAATCTGATGGATTCTCATCTGCAAACCGGACGCAAACCAGAATCCTCGCCCATCAGTTCTGCCATTCATGTTGTTTCAAATTGAGATGGCAAACACCGTCATTTCTCTCACAAGTCTGGAAAATCAAACAGAACAGAAAGGCATAGCATCGAACCCATGCTTCACCAGTGCTTTCAAATACTAAATGGAAAGGGAATCATGCTATCACTAACTCCCAATGCCCTGCTTTTCTATGAGAAGCGTTTTTAAACTGTCATGAAATAAATGCTTTTGTCTTACAATCTTTTAGGAGTCGGTTGTCATTGAAATGGAAATGGTACAGAAATGAATTATTTTAAAATACTAAAAATGACAGTGCTTGGGAGATTTGCCCTTGTTTATAGTATTACGTGTGGGGGAGAGAAAAGATATTGCCACTTTCATCTTGTTTGATCTTCTGGATGTATTAAGGTCACAACTAGGGATAGTTTTACATTGCTGAAATTCTCCAAACTGCACTTCAAAGCTTGGTTCAGCTCACACTTGTTCTCTTTTGCAATCTATTGTGCGTTTTACATAATCAGTAAAATGGGTGAAATTTTAGCTTCTTTACCGGAGGTATCAGTCAATCTAATGTTGAATTTTATTCAGCAGAAACTCTTGTTCTGTGTTTATTGGATGCCACAATGTGTCTTTAAGAAGGGTTTGTCGAAGTTAGGTAACAGCTGCTGATGTATGACCACCACTGTTTCTCTTATGCATGTATTTTAGCAATGCCCAGTAGTTGCCTGTTTTAAGGAAGAGGTTGTAATTCAGATAAACTTTTATATTGGAATACATTTAAATATTATCTTACATTATTTACCTGTTACTTAGAGGTTAAAGCAAGGGCAATGTGAATGGATTTCCATCCCTTTTTGACAGCTGAAAGATTTAGGAAGATACATCTTCACCTCCTGTAATACAATGAACTGAGAACCTAACAACACTTGGAATGGTTGTTTAGATGTCTCCTGCAAATTGAGAACTACATGGCTATTTGACCCACCCTTCTTGAAGCTTGTCTGTGGCACTTTCTATTGACAGCTATATTTTCACATTCATATAGGCACACACAGATTTCATATGCATTTATTGTAAATGTATTGTACCTGTTCAAAATCTGATTCCACCAATGAGTGGATGACTGACCAAAAGGTGCCTGCAAATCCACAAAATGCAGACAGGATGGATTAACCAAGTCCATACATCCCTAGGCAGAAGTGCCTTGTTCGGTATCTCCATAACGGAGGTGCCATGTCCGGAAATGTATGTGAGGAAGGCTGGAGGGGAGGCTTCGATATATTTGAAGGGTATGGATGAGATGGTTTAATGCACAAGAGGAGAATAAGGGCTGTTTGAGATGTTGTGCCATTCCCTTTTCCGAACTATGGAGCTAGCCCACTGCTTTCATTCAATGCCCAGTCAGTTTTCATTCTAGCTGAGAAAGCTGGCCTGTTGTCCATGATGGAGACCTGGTTCTGGGGAGATGGAAGCATTTAGTCTCTTGTGGATATTTTATTTATTTATTTATTTATTTATTTATTTATTTATTTAAAACATTTCTATGCCACCCCCATCGCAACAAAGCCTCAGGGCAGCTCACAAAGAATACATAAATACATACATAAATAATGATAATATAACAATTAAAAATATGGCCTTCAGGGTACCTGGTTCAGCACCAGAACGGACCATGGAATTTTTGAAGAGTGAGTTGCTGTGGTCTATGGGAATTCCATCTCTCCCATCAGTTTTCCTGCCCATTTAAGTGCCCATCAGGAATATTTACACCACTTTTGCAGGGCCATCAGCCCAGGCAGACTTCTTTAAAAGAAAGTCAAGCAATCCAGGATGGCATCTCTGCTAGGCCATGAGATTGCTGTAAGTAGTCCTGAGTCAACCTTTTCAGCATGGGAGAGCAGAGTTTATAGGAACAAGGTAAGTTGATAAAACTGCTTAACTGCGGCTTGATATCGATGAATTCAGGGTCATCGAGGGGCTTCAGTGTGAAGTTTTGCAATATGGTGGTCAAGAACAAGAAGAGCTCCATGCGAGCCAGGCTTTCCCCCAAACAAATCCGCTTACCTGAAAAGGAGATGCATAAGGGAACCTGTGTCACACCTGGTTCTTCAACTGTTACATCAACTCATTATTCAGCAAATGTGTTGCTCCAGGAAGAGCTCTTAGGAGGGTCACTCTCTGCACCTTTTTTTTTTTTTTTTTTGCTCCTTCTAGTTTGGACTGCCTTTGCTATTTATTATTTATTTATTTAGAGTATTTGTATGCCGTCCCATCGCTTAGCCTCAGGATGGCTTACATAAAATAAAATAAAACATAATACACATAAAATCCAGATCCACCCTGGCTGCAGATTAAAACCTATAAGCTGATATTAAAAGTTATTAAAATATTGTTGAAATAAAAAGGTCTTCGCCTGGCGCCGAGAAACAAATAACGATGGCGCCAGGCGGACCTCTCTGGGGAGTGCATTCCATAGGTGGGGCTATATTATAATATTAATATATTAATATATTATAATAATATAATATATTATTTATATTAATATATTGTTTTACTGCTGTTTCAATTTTCAATTTTAATTTTTTAGTTTTAATTTTGGAATTTTATAGTACTTTTATATTGCAAGTGATTAACTTTTGAATATTTTCATTAATTCTACAAGTCATGTAATGGTTTCAGCCCAGTGTTGGGAGTAGAGAGAATATAAATCAATATCCTCATCACAAGGAAGGGCAACATACTCTGAAGAAGACTAAAGTTGCCACTGCCTTCTTAACAGAAAGCCCTACACCTCATTCTTTGTGGGCCATCCTACATTTCCTGAAAACCAGAACCCTAATTCTTGGGAATGAGCATTATTCTGCTCATTGAAACATGGTTCTGATGACAATGAGACCCCACCTACATTGCATTATGGCAGTATGGCCAATCCAGAATGAAATCCCATAGCCAATTAGGACCTCCGTTTGCTCTTCAACAAAATTATTATGCTTTGATAGGGGTTAGAATTGGCACTTGGCTGGTCCAGTAAAGAAAGATTAGAGCAACCAGAAAGACCTGACTTGGACAAAACTGTGATTCCCCTAGATAATGCCCAATGCAGAAGAAATGACCTTACCTGCTGAGAAAGGCATGAAGAAGTCGCTCTTCCTGAGGGTGCCGTCTTCATGCAAGAATTGATGGGGGTCAAATTCTTCAGGATTTGGAAATTCTTTGCAGTCACGCAGCACAGAGTTCAGAACAGGGTATACAGTGGTGCCCTTTAGCAAGTAAAGAAGTGAGTTAGCAAACTGGACACCAAAGGGTAAGTTTGGATGCCTTAAGGTGGGCTGCTGACTCCTTCTTGATCCTTCTAAGCAAAGTCTGAGGAGCACTTAGCAGTAAAGGCCCCTCTTTTATGATGAGTGTACTTTGGACCACGGTTGGCATGCTGACTTCAGTGGGGGAAGCATCTTGTGCTTTGCAAGGGTCCTTTCCCCTGCTGCTTCCCTAGAAGAAAGGTAACAGTGGATTGGGAACCCTTGGGAAATGTCTGAGGATCTCATCCAGGCCATGGACCTTATCTTCTGCATCCCTCTTAAAAGCTTTGAAATAATGGACTCAGCAAATTTCCTTGTTTGTATAGGAATCTTGGCTTTTGAAAACTGACCTTTGGGATGATTTATTATTATTATTATTATTATTATTATTATTATTATTATTATTATTATTATAACATTTCTATGCCGCCGGAAGGGAGTGTCCTTGACCACTGCATGTGGGGCATTCAGTGGAATGACAGAGATGAACCTCTGCATCTCATGAAGGACAGCGTTGGTGTAAGGCATCTGTCCATGGTCAGCCATGCAAGGTCTTCGGGTTTGGCCAATGACTTGGTCAATCTCTTCACGTACTTTCTCTGTAATAGAATGGGTGGGATTTAAGATCACTGCAGGCATTTGGGAAACCTCACAGACATCATTCTCATTTTGTTCAACCAAGGTAATCAAATCACTATTCACATTAAGTGATTGTCCCTTGTTTTGTGTAGTTTATTTCCTTGATCAAAGGCTGCACCCTCAGGGCCAGTCATCCATCCATAAGCAGAGAATCAGGAAGGCCAATCAATGAAAGAAGGGAGTTAAAATGAGTTGTGGGGGCTGACTTTTTCTGATAAGATTCCCTGTGTCTCCTCTTGATTTCAAGCTGTTGTTTTCCAATTCTCGGGTGCTGTTACATCCCATTGCGTTCCCCAAGTCTGCCCCCATGACAAACACCTTGTGATTGTGTTATGCTCAACCTCTGGGGCCTTCTTCTGAGAGCCAACATCAAGGGAAGCTTGGAGGGTGGCAACCAAGGGGAGGGCTTTCTCTGTGATGCCCCCACCTATGGAACAACCTCCCTACTCTGGTCTGCCTGGTGACTAATCTGTGTCGGGTTTATGCCAAGGCCAGGAAAGGCCTATTTGGACATCCAGGACAATCCCTTGTGTTTTTACTGAGCTATTCTTTGCTGTGATTTGTTTTTAGCACTTTTAAACTTTTTAATTGTTATCTATTTTTATGATATCATCATCACCATTGTTCTTCATCCTGTTTATTTACTCCATCTGAATGCCCCTTGGATTTTTCTGCACTATGGATGGAAATGGAAGTGTTTAAATATCATATTCAGATGTGATTTTAACTTTCACATGAGTCACTTAGAGATTTGGTAGACTAAGTGTTCTAGAGGTATCAAAAGTAGATAAAAAAGAAAGAGCGCTTACAAAATCCTCCCAAGTTTCAAACTATGCCCACTGGCCAAAAATAAAACAAAATGAAATTAAACGAAACAAAACAAAATGAAATGAAATGAAACAAAACATTCTTTCTCATCCCAACTTCTCCATGAATCAAGCCAGACTGAACAGCCATCTCATATAGAATTGATGGCTCCGTTAGGCATGGAGTAGCTGACAGGTGAAAGAGGACTGGACTGAGACTGCTGGGATGCAGTGGGCACCTGGAAAGCACCTTGAATCTCTGGGTATTTCAGCAGAATTAAGAGCCCGTCTTTTAGTGTAGCACTGATCGTCTCGATTCCTGCCTCACACAAGTCAAGTATGCTGATAACCAAATTGTCCGTGGTGAATCCAGAAGCACTGCTATGCATCTCCTGGAAAGACAAACAGCGCAATGTAGTATTGTATCTTATTGTATAGGAAGCTCCAGAGCACCAGAATGGATGATATATCCCATCAGCTATACAGGATTAAAAGTCACAGAATTCATTGTTCAGTCTTTACATTGTCTTTTCCGTGTTAGAGCCTGGCCTGAAACAGAAAGGACATGGCTCCAAATAATCACTGGTCATCCAAGTCAGCACTCACTCAACCTCTTTGCTCAGGAAGTTAAGAATTTGCTGCTCCCCAGTTCTGTTGTATTTGATTTTATTGATTGTGAGCCGTCCTGAGATTCCACACATAAGAGGTGGCATATAAAAGTTTTAAATAAATAAATAAACATTGTGTGTGGGCACAAAAATATTCCATTTCTTAGCTATTGCACTGTCCAGACATATGTGTGAAGCTGGATTAGAGCCATCAGTGGGACAGAGAACAAAGGAGTGTCGCAGCCAAGCAAACGACTCCTTGGGCTCTCACACTGAGGGCAGCTTATTGCAAAGGGCCGTGGATGGTGCAGTGGTGTAAACTGCTGAGCTGCTGGGCTTCTTGACTGAAAGGTCGGCAGCTCAAATTTGCGCAACAGGGTGAGCTCCCTTCACTTTGTCCCAGCTTCTGCCAACCTAGCAGTTCGAAAGCAAGCAAATGCGAGTAGATAAATAGGTACCACTTTGGTGGGAAGGTAGCAATGTTCCTTGTGCAAAAGTGTCTAGTCATGTTGGCCACATGACCATGGAAACTGTCCATGGACAAACACTTGGCTAAGAAATGGAGATGAGTACCGCCCCTAGATTTGGACATGACTGGACTTAATGTCATGTAAAAACCTTTCCCTTTTTACCTTTGGCAAAGATGGAGTAGTAGCTTTGGTCCTGGGCAGCAAACAGGTATAGCAGATTGGCAAAGTTTATAAAGGGGGTGGCCTAGAGGTACCTCCTGTGAAGATGAAACAAAGCAGAGGCACCTGGGCTTGTTGAGCCGGAATTTTGAGAGCGCGTGATGGGCACTCATACCAAATGGATGCCATGGCAGGCATTGTTGCTGAGGGCTTACTTTTCTGTACACATGCATGGAACTGAGCTGTGTTTTGTCGAGCAAGTGGCAGCAATTACGTTCTCCTGTACATCTGACTATGGCTGCATGTGCAACCCTCAGTCATAAAGCATAGTCCAAATGGGGCTCTCGGGTTTAAAAAGCTTTGCAGTCCTGGACTAGACTTAACCCTGAAGACATTTCTGACTACATGACTAGATCAGCCACGGGAAAAGCTCCTCCTTTGTCAGTTTTCAAGCTAGGGAAGACTCTGCTGGGGAAGCGCCAGAGGCATGAGCCATCGTCCCAGTGATTCTTCACCTTACCTGATCCATCTTAGTATGGAAGCCGTCAATAAAATCCCGAGGTGTGGTGGGGCCCAGGGTAGTTCTGTGTCCTTCAATCTTTTCTAAAACAAACTCCCTCAGTGCATCATTGTTTTTCTTCACTCTATGGTGAGGCCCAGGAATAAATGCCATGAAAGAAGGTAAGAGATTGTACAACTAGAGGGAACAGCAGAAGAAACATGTCACTGCTTCCATTTTGTCTGTTTCCAGCTTTTTTCTTTAAGGAATTCAAGGTGGTATCCATAATCTTGTTTTCCCTCTCCATTTTATCCTCACAGCAATCCTGTGAAGTAGTTTAGGCTGAGAGCTTTCACTGGCCCAAAATAATTCAGTGAGTATCCTGGCTGAGAGGGGACTAAAACCCAGTCCAACATTCTAACAACTGCATGGCACTACTGCTTGGACAATTGTTTTGGTAATTGACACGACGTCCCGAGTGCAATGAGATTACATGAGGTTATTTATTCTGAAGAAGCAAATGCACACTTCTACTCTAACAAAGGCGGGGGGGGGGGTGTTCTATATTGGCAGTATTATTCACATATATTCAGATTTAATGTGGCTTTCATGAAATTTCCCCCTTCCCCTGCACTTTCACTGCCTCCCACAGGTAATGGATGAAGGGTCAGAATGCCAGTCCTTCTCTCGCTCTCTCTTTCTTCCCTCTTGTACATTGCTTCCTTCGTCCATACTGCTTATTAGCAGACCTGGAAAGCTGTGCTTGAAAAAAGAAGGAAGAGAAAGAAGGGAAGGAGGGGAGAGGGAAAGGAGAGGAAGAGGAGAGAAACAGAATAGTAGGAGAAAAAGAAGGTGAGGAAGAAGGATAAGAGGCCAAGAAAGAGAACAGGAGAAATAGAAAGCATGGAGTATGAAGGAGAAGGAGAAAAGGAGAAGGAAAGAGGGAATGCAAGAAGGAGAAGGAGAAATTCACTATGCTTTGCAATGTGGAACCCATACACACGTTTGTGGATATGGAACAAATCCTTTTAGGATGAAGTGATCGTGTGTAACTTGTAGGCAGGCTGCCGGTGATACCAAGACAGGATGCAAAGTTGCTGTCCTTCAATAATTCTCTACCAGACCACAGAGGCCTTTTGAACAATTGCCTTGTGAAGAGCAGAGGGAGAAGAAGAAATGAATTGCCACCATCACCAATTCTTCAAATAGGTTTAAAAGAAAGAAAGAAAGAAAGAAAGAAAGAAAGAAAGAAAGAAAGAAAGAAAAGCAACAACTAATTCTACACATCCACCCACTTCCGGTCCCCCTTTCCTTGGGTGCCATGTGCTAAACTTGGATACTGAGCCAGATGGTAGGGAATAATATGTGGATTTGTTTTGTAAGTTTTTCTGAAAGTCCTTTTAGGCTACAGAGCAAGATATAAATGCTGCCACAAAAAGAAAAGGGAGGTAGGGAACTCGCTACAGAAAATGTATGCTAATGCTATGTACAAAAGTAAATTTTATAACCCATGAAAAGAGCCCTCTGGCTGGAGGATGGTGCCTACCTGTCCCCAACAGGAGCTTGCAATATGGAAGCTGTCATTCATTAAGGACATAAAGGCTTGGAACTTCTTGTCATTGTAGTCATATCGGTTCCCAAAGACAGCGACACAGATGACATTGGAGACAGCACAGCTGAGCAGGAAGGCTGGATCAAAGGGCATTCCTGAAAGTGGGAAAAGACTGCTCCAGCTCTAGCCCCACTGTCCGGCAATTAAAAAATGGCATTTGCTGGTGGCCATGGTCAGACATGGACCTTTGATGGGCAACCATGGACAGCCTCCTGTTCTCTGCAGCTCAGTCTCCTCCAGGTAAAGTGAGAGAAAGATGGACTTGCACAGGTACCAGGCAGAAAATGTTCGGTCCCTGGCATAGATCCTCCCACAATAACTGGAGAAGCACCTGCAGGCCAGTTGCTGGAGAAATATGTGCGGGGTGATGCTGTTGCAGTCATGAAATACAGCTGGGTTCCCCACGGCAGCTGATTGGCCACCGTGTGAACAGAGAGGGCTGCCTGAGATGGACTCAAGGCAAATCTCAGGCTTTCAAGCAGGAGTTTTGCTACCCCTTCCTAGAAAGCAATCCTTAGACTGGTCCAGCAGGGCCTCTCTTAGGTTCTTCCCCTTCTTCTCCTCTTTTGGGTCTGAATTCCTGGGGATGATTTTTTAGGAGATGTGGGGTGTGCATTGTCCATTTGGGGGGAGAATTTATTCAGTTTTCAGAATTTTCAGAGTTTTCAGCTCAAAACAGATGCTGAAGATGCACTGAAATAGGTGGGAGCTATCCAAGTTGATCTCGAACCATAGGACTGTGTAGAATACCCTTTTGCGGGGTGAGAATCCATCAGATTCCCGAGATTCCAGAGTACTTTTCAGAAGCCCTGAGTTCCTGACTTCCATGGAACGCTTGCCAGGAACCAAGCCCCAGGTAGTGTACAAGCAGCAGTCCTCTTCCATGCTCACGGCCACCAGTGCCGACAAGAAGGTGTAGGGAAGACGTCTGGTCACCAGGAATGGTCCCGGCGCGTTTGCTTGCATGGCCCCTCTCTTGTCCCCACTGCTGCTGGAAGCAGAGGGCAGGGGGGAAGTTGGGTCAGCTGGAATGGCGCTTGCAACGCCCTCTTGCAGTCCCCCTTTTCCATGCCCTGCAACTATTCCTGATGGGCAAGGCTGCAGGTTGTGCAGCGGGGGTCCATGGGCATTTGTGCACCGCCTCTTGGCTCAGCTTGCTTTGTACGGCTCGGACGAGCACAAGGGAAAGTCCTCTGGATGTGAGAGAGAAGGATTCCGAAGGGGGTGGTCACAACCCTATGTACGAATGTCTGATTTCTCCCACTCAGGCAACAAACCTAGTTCATCATGTCTGACCTGAATTTACTCAGGGAAATAATTCAGCTAGGAAGACTGCCCTGGAGATTGGAAGCAGTTCTCCTTCCTTAGGAAACACCAAAGGAGGCAGAGGTGGGGTAGAGCAAAGCGCACAAAATTAGAAGTACACTAATTTGACTTCTTCATGACATTTTGCATTTGTAGGACCATTTGAATCCAACCCCATGTGTCCTGCATGTTCTTGTTTCCAGCAGCTCTCTAAGGCCAGGGCGACTTCTTTTCTTTTCTTTTATAACTTCTTTTATATCTTTTATATTTTTTATTTATTTTATATTGTTAATTTTAAATTGTTATTTTTGTATTGTGTTGTAAGCCGCCCCGAGGCTTCAGCAAGGGGTGGCATAGAAATGTTCTAATAATAATAATAATATTATTATTATTATTATTATTATTATTATTATTATTATTATTATAATGGATCTTCTTGATCTGGAAGGATAAACTCTTAATGCCAGAAAGTGTGTGGGTGAATAAATGTCCATTCACACAGCATGGGTGCAGAATCCAAGCCAATGAGAACAGAGATGGAATTTGGCACAACGTTTGCACCTATAAGAAATGACATTTCGTTGATATTTGAGATTTGAGATGTACATGGGTTGTGTGTTTGTGTATACCTAAATTATACCTAAAATTTAATTACCTAAAATTTAATAGGACTGAGGATGAACCCTGGCAATCTTTGAGTTTCCCCAGCAAGTTCTTTTCTTTTGGAACTGAACTCTTCCTATCTGGCAAGTCAGATCCTGTGCTGAAGATACCTGAAATATACGTGCACATTTCTTCAAATCCCTCAATCCCTTTTCCATGCATCATTTGTCATGGCCCTTTAGTAAGTATGTATCTGAATGATCTATGCACCACTTCCCTGCAGATTCCCACTTCCTTCACTTCTCTCTGTTATTCCCCCATGTGAAATGCTAGATGCCAGCTGGAGTGGAAGAGAAAGACAAAGTAAAACAAATTTCAAAAATGTTGGTGGAATGAAACTAACTGGGGCTGGATGATCTCTGGCCAAAAGAGTCGAATGAGATCAATGGAGGAGCAATGAGCAATCAAGCAATACTTATGCCTATATCACTACCGCGGATTCTTGCTTACCACATGAAGAAACTGAGACAAATTGTTCACCCCCAGCTGCAGAGCATTCCCTATGATGGGCAGAGAAAACGGGCCCGGTGGCAGGTTTCTATGTCGAGATGTCCAGGAAGCAAGAAAAATAAGGCAAGAGATAAAGAATACCAGGAACAATGTTAGCATCCCCAAGGGCTCCATAGCAGTGGATGATGGGAAGAGGAACTGCTCTGGATTCTACTATGCTAAAGTTCATTTATGCACATTGATCTTGACCTTATATCATTTTATGTGCCCTGTGACATCCAGGTAGTGTGCAGGCTAAGCCAATAAGATCTCATGGTTTCTGTGGGTCACAAAGCTGGGTCATTAAGCAGCTCAGCTTTATCTTGAAATCAACTTTTCTGAACTTCACTCTGTGCTTATTGAGCAATTCCCAAGGCAGTTCTGACAGTGTTCTGGCTGAGCATGGTTTCCGTGTACTCAGAAGGGGTGGACAAGACCGTCTCGATTGGATCCATGCTGTTCTTGCATGGGAGTGATATAAAAACGTGCAATTTGAAATGTTTATAGGGTACCTTCCAGGAGAAGAGCTCTCCCAGGGTGACTTACCAAAAATAAAATACATATGTAAGAATATATGATCAAGTGAATACTAAAATTCATGGTTCTTGAAGCAGCAACAACTGGAAACATCTGCAAAAGGCAGAGCCTGCATCCGAATTGCAGCCACAACCCAGTCTGAGAGAAAATAATCAGAGGGAATCAGAGCCCTGTTCTCCCCTGCAAAGGAGGGCAGGATGTGTTCCAATGGAACCAAGCTCAAAGAACCCAGGTTCCGTTTGGATGCCAGGAAGCACTTCCTGACAGTCAGGACCCCGAGGGTGTGGAATGGGCTTCCACGGGAGGTGGTTGAGGCCCCATCGGTGAGGGTGTTCAAGGATAGGCTGGACATGCACAGAGTGGGCATGTCGTGAGTGGAGCCGGCTGGAGCTGGGATCAGACTATATGGCCCTGGAGGCTCCTTCTGACTCACTCTATCTCTATGTTTCTATGAATTTGCTTGTCCACCTGTGTGCAAGTTTGGGGGTGTGAGCTGTAGAAGAGAGGTCTGCACAAATCTCCTTTGAAATAAAGCACGATCCCTTGATGAAGCACGGAGTGTTGTCCCCACTTGGATTTTGTGTGGGTCCTGTGTGCAGAAGAAACTCGGCAGCAGCCATCCCATTTCTGTTCATGTCCCTGCATTCCAGGGGTTGGAAAGGGAGATGGTTACCAGCCCGGATACACCTGGAAGGAATATTTTAAGAGCATGTATCATGCTAGCTATGCGGGAGTGGACAATGCTGCCACAATGCTACACACGGTGTAGCTGGAAATGATGCTCCTATGCAAAGACGGCACCTGAGAATCTAGTCGCCAGAGTCTTGCAACTCACCATTCCATCTCTCCTCAGTTGCAGCCATAGAGGGTACAGTTCTGAGCTGCAGCTTGGATGTGTCTTTCTGAGCCAAGCACAGCAAACCCGACTCCCAATAAATTCAGGGCAATGTTCAGAGAAGCTAATGTCTCTGTTCACGTTTGACTGAAGTCACCAAGAACACAAGAGCTCTTGTGAAGTCACCAAGAGCTTCATTTATGGAAAACTGATAAAACTTGTTTTATCAGTTTTCCATAAATGAAGAGAATCCAAAAGTAAGCAAAATACATCATACGACAGAGCTTAGTCTATTTAACATCTCAAGCACAAGTACGGGGAGAACGGATAGGGTTTCCTGCTTGTTCTTCATAACATTTTATATTTAGCCTGTTTTCCATGATCTGAGGAAAGGCTTTGACAAATGTTGCTGTGTATATGCCTCAATTGTATACCATCCTTTTGGCTTTGGTTTTAGCTAATTTTGTTGGTAGCTTTTGTCATTTCTCCATTTCACCTGGTACCTTTTATGTCTGGCAGATGTAGTTCACTTTTTAAGTGTAACTGGCCTTTTATCAAGAGGAGCTTTTGTGTCATACATTAATCAACCATCGCCGTTTCCCCCCACTTCTCTTTCGCCACCCCTATTCTACATATATGGCTCCGGAAGCTTCAGGAAAATCTCTTATCAGCTCAGCTCTTGGGAGTTAAAAACAGGCTGTACCTCTGCTTGGCTGCTCGGCTGCACTGAACCATGCCGTCCCACAAAGTGCAGCTTGCATGACTTTGCTTTATGGCCAGATCCACTGGTGAGGTCATGCCTTTTATCATCAAGGCAGTATGACCTGAATTAAACATTGAAAGCTCTGTTCTAGTTGCCAGTTCCATTCTGGAGCCATTTCAACCTGATGGTTTAAATCCCTAAGCACCCTGGGGGTTCATTATTGGAGGGACTGTCTCTCTTAGAATCCTAGAATCAAAAAATGGTAGAGTTGGAAGGGGCTGGTGAGGCTGCCATGTCTAAACCACTGCTCAGTGCTGGGCTCCAATTTAAAGTGTCCCTAAAAGATGGTGCCCCTAAATACAGCCGTGTTTTCCCTGATGTTCAGCTGGAATCCTGCTTTGTGTAACTCGAGCCCATTATGCCATGTGCTGCACTCTGGGATTATCGAAAGAGGTCCTGGCCTTCCTTGTGTGACAGCCTTTCAAGGACTTGAGGAGTGCTCTCCTAACTCCCTCCTCTTCTCAAGCTAAATGTGCCCAGTTCTTTCGGTCTCTCCTCAGAATGCTTCACTTCTGGTTCTTGATCATCTTTGCTATACTCATCTAAAACCTTTCCAATTTCTCAGCAGTTTTCTTGACCTGTGGAGCCCAAAATTCAATGCAAAATTCCAGATGAGGTCTACCAGTGCTAAGTAGAGGGGGATTCATACTTGTCATGACTCAGAAGGGAGACTTCTACTGATGGAGCCTGAAATCACACGTGCATTTTTTGCAATCCCATCCCAGGGTTGATTCATATTCATATTCAAGTTCAGATTCATATTGTTTGTTCTATTGGACCTCATCCATGGGAGCACTAGAAGTTTGCATGCATGTTAAGGACAAATCTGCCATAACCAGTGTTCTAGACTGTGATACATTGGAGCCCTGATTTGGGAGCACTCCCTTCCAGAGTGTGGAATCATTCTGCTTGATCCTTTGAATCGCCAAGAGAACTTCCATTGCTTTTCTGGTGACCTCTGTCATCTGAGTTGGGTCACTGTTCCAGCATTCAGGCCTTGCCTTCAGCCTTGTCTATAATTCTATGCTATTCCTACATGGCTTGGGACCAGAACCCCTGATGGGATGCCTTTCCCAGCCTCAGTCTATCCATGCACTATGATCTACCACTGAGGTCTTTCTTTGGCTGTCACTTCCAAGGGAAGGGAACAAAGAGGGCCTTCTTCATGCCCCCCCCCCATTATGAAATGATCTCCCAATGGAGGCCTGCCTGGAGCTAATATGGACAGCTTTTTGGTGCAAGGTTAAGACTGCCCTCTGGGCCCCAGGCATACAGCTTATAATGGATCATGTCAGTTTTAACCTGGCCAGTTTTAATTTTATTGTTTCAGTTGGTTAGCCTTGTAAATTCTTTATAGTAGAATTTTACAGACTATTTCATTTCATTTGAATTCATATTGAATCCATTTGTGTTGTACCTGTGCTTGTGAATTGTTGTGAATTATCCAGACAGGATTGACAATGGGGTGACATAAATATGAAATAAAAAAAATAATGACAACAAAAGTAACCCCTCTCCAAAACTTTAATTAGCCAATTGCACATGTTTCTTTTTTAAAATGGATCTGTTTCCTTCTCAGGAGATAGCTCATCAGATATGATTCTTCTTTCCATTGGAATCTGGCATTTGTGTTCAGGAAAAGGCAGTTTAAATAATGAATGAACAGAGCTGAGTCTTCTGGGAGTAGAATACGGGAAGGAGGGGACATTGGCCCAAGCTCTGAATGAAAACATTTAATAGAATCATTGAATGGTAGAGTTGGAAGGGACCATGAAGGCTATCCAACCCCCTACTGTTGCTGGACACCAATTTACACCATCCCACTAAGATGGCTGTCCAATTTGATACTTTCATTCAATTAAAAACAGGCAGAAAAGACCAGTTGCCCTTTATGGTTGGGATCCCCTTCCAGAGCAAACTAGAAACCAACTTCATCAACATAAAGCATTCCAGGCTGCCATCTCTGCCAGGTTGGGTGCTTCCTATGTGCCGTCCTGAGATGGCACAATTGCCAGGTGTGCTCCTTTTTCAGCGTGGGATGAAGCGCAGCTGGAAGGACTGAGGTATGTTGCCGAAAGTGCTCAGCTTGGGTGTGAGGTCAATGTCTTTGCGGTGGCCGAGGGGCTTCAGCGAAAAGTTCTGCAATATGGTGCTCAAGAACAAGAAGAGCTGCATGCGGGCGAGGCCTTCCCCGATGCAGATCCGCTTACCTGCAAAGGAGATGCGCTTGATAGTAATGTTCTTATAATGCTCATTAGAAAACCCAAACAGTGCGAGAGTATAAGAGAGCCGGTGTCACATCATGGTTAGAATGCTGGAGAGGGCAATCAGGTTCTACTTCCTGCCTGACCATAAAGCTCACGGGGTGACTTTGGGCCCATCAGTCCTTCTCAGCCTAACCTACCTCCAAGGGCTGTTGTAAGGACAAAATGAAGTCATGGAAGCTTCCTTGAGTTCCTCAAAAAAGGGAAAAAAACCCATGGGATTTAAATCCAGCATAACACAGATAATGCATAATACTTATCAGCAGCAAAACTTCACATTCTGAATTGTGCTGCAGATCCGGACTGCATGGGGTATGGGGAAGTTCAGGGGAAGGTTGCATGGAGAGAGAAGTCTTTCATAAACATCAGAACCACGGCAGGGGGCATTTAAGGACAGCTGGCAATGCATTCCAGAGGGTGGGTGCTTCATCACTATTGGTCTTCATGCAAGAGCTCCTGGAACATGCCACCTTAGCAACACCAGCAGTGATGCTCTGCACTTTGGAAAAAAGCTTGACCATTCATTCATTCATTCATTCATTCATTCATTCATTCATTCCATTTGTACACCATCCAATAGCCAAGGCTCTCTGGGCCATTAATAAATGTTAAAAACACACAAAGTGCTTTCATTTAATTTAGGCAGTCCACTAGCAGCACTCTTTCTTCCACAAACTGCAGCAAAGCAAGTCAGCTTGGAGAAAACCTACTCCTGTTTGACTTGGTGTTCAGAGCAAAGCATTTTGAAGCAATGTGTGAAATAAGATTCATGTCTACCACTGCGCTTGTGCTGACTTGGGTCAAAAAAATCTTCACTAATTCATGAGTTTGCATTCATGTCCAGAAATATACATACTTACAATATGTATATTTTTACATGAACGTATTTTCGGAATGAGCCAGTTGGGACTGCTCTTTATTTTAAAGAGTCTCAACTGTCAGAGCAAGTGTCAGATTCCAGGGTGATCTGAACAAGGGAGGATTTGAGGCTTCCTTGCTCAGTAACAAAACAGAGAAGCATTTTGGAGACTCAGGGGGAAAAATAAGAAAAGAAAAAGCTGGAATATGAATTCCTGGGATGATGGCCAACACAGAAGGGGCAATTTTACCTGCTGAGAAGGGCATGAAGTAGTTGCTCTTCCGGAAGGTGCCATCTTCATGCAAGAAATGCTGTGGGTCAAATTTTTCTGGATTTGGAAATTCTTTGCTGTCATACAGCACAGATTGCAAAACTGGATAGATGGTGGTGCCCTTGAGAGATTGAAGGAGCAGGTTAGAGTGTTTGCAACCCAAATGGAAGACTGGATACCTTTAGGAAGGGGTTAAACTCATTGATTCCTCCTAAGCAAGCGTTCACTTTAAAACTGGTCCCCAAGAGTCCCTAGCAAGGACTCTTAATTTCTGCTGTGAGCCATGTTGCTGTTAGTGGGGCAATCAGTTTGTGTGTCTTTTCTGTCCTCCAGAGAAGGGCATCCTTTGGCTACTCATGGAGTAGACCAGACAGAGTTGTATTTCTGGAGTATGAAGGCCCTTCCCATAGTCAAGATCATTCCCGGCTTAAGTGGCACAGTAGGCATATTATGGCAGAGATGGTTGTATATGTCTCTCCTTTCTGTACTATTCTGTGGGGAATATCAGCCCTGTTGCAACATCATCTGAAATCAGCTAAGACTGCTGGTGAAAGAGGGAGAAGATTCATAACTCTGATGAGAAGATGGGCTTGGAGCATACACTGGACCCTCAAACAAAGTGCCTTTCTGTGCCGTTTCTCTCAGAAATACTTTACTTAGTTTCACTAGAATATCAAGGGGATAATACCCCCTTTGCCCCATATCAATTCCCCTTGTGCTGACATAATGCAGATGGAGTTGGCTCCATGGATGCTCCCTCCACAAGCACTTTCCTCTGCCTCCTTCCCAAAGGGTGGCAGACTTTGAATCGAGTTCTGTTCCGAGTTTCTGCTTGGAAATTTCTCTTTCCATTTAAGTATGTAGGTTACTTTTCAACTCTAAAAAGTACTCAAAGGAGGTTACAAGCAAGAACCTGAATGAAAAGGTCGGGATAAAAACATTACTTTCAATTCCCATTTCAATGTAATTAATTGAAATTGCTTATATCAGTAAAATTAAAAGCATGACCAAATCTGATTGTTGATGAAGGCTGGACTGAACAAATTGGTCTTCATCAAGTGCCCACAACTTTCTGTGGAGGAATTCTAACATGTGTCCCTTAGAAAGCCCTTCTGTAACGTAGGGGACACTGCTCTGTGGACACTGTTGGTGGTGGATAATGATGGCTCTGGCCCCCAATGCAGTGTTTTTGCAGTGGTTCTGAAGCGGGTTTGGGTCCCTGTGGAATGGGGTTTTGTAAAGCATGGGGAAGGCCATTTCATAGAGTGTCCACTGCTGAACAGTTCTAGCTACATGAAATGCTTCCTTTCCCCACTGCTCCAGTTGACTTTGATTCAAGGCCAGTGGGTGAGTGAGCAGTAGAAGTAGCAAGCCCTGATATACTGTATGAGGGAGGGAGTGAGGGAGGAAAGGAGATCTTAAGAAATAGCATATGTTGCTTAGTGGGCTGCTGTCCCTGAACCCGATTAAGATGATTTGCTCCTGAAAACAAGTTCTGAATACTACTGCACTGACTATTTGAATGTTGCATTGATCGCCACTTCAGAGGTTGACATTATGGCTGCTGACATAATTGTATATTTCAGAGTACTTGGAATATCCAAAGATTTGAGGGTCAGACAGGTATGGATTTCAAGGAATTTGTCAATTGTGGAATGCATTAGCCTTCTGCAAACAGAAGGGCACAACTGTGTTTTGATTCCTGATCTCAACCAGGGGGAAAGCATTCAGATGAACATTTGAAGGGGTGAAGCCATCACACAGAAATGGCTCTGGCTTGTTGGCCATGCATTTGACCTTCCTGACAGGCCATGGTTGTGCTACAAGACCGTGGATCATATGGATGATCCATAGCCTTTGGGTCAAGCCAGATACCAATGGACTGCCAGCATCAGAACAACGGGGATGTGGCTGAGTAAAATGGGAGTTGCACCATTCCTGTCTGAGGCATTGATATGATTCATTTAAGCCCTTCAGAAAGAAGTCATGCCCAAAGCTAGTCCATACATGAACTGTGGCTCTCCAACACTCACCTTGGGAATGATATACTGTCTGAAGGGGGTGTCCCTTTCCACTGCATGGGGAAGAGACAATGGGATAAGGGAGATGAACCTCTGGATTTCATGAAGGACAGCATCCGTGTAAGGCATCTTTCCGCGATCAGCCATGCAAGGACTCCGTGCTCGGCCAATTACACGATCGATCTCTTCTTGCACTTTCTCTGTAATGCAAATAATAGGGTGATTTTGGCTGCACCACAGAAACGTTCAGGAAATATCACAAGGCTCATCCAAGCCACAAAGGAGGTGTGGCACAATATGGTATCACAGTGTCAATGGGATGGTTGGGGAGTCTTTATCATCATCATAGCCAAGAAGTCCATGTCAACCACAGTCACATATTTATGAACATTCCTCCTCATGATGACAAATGCATGGAAGAAGAACGTTAAAAGGCGCTGTGGAATCTTGGTAACCACCTGGCTTTTTCTGGTCAGCTTTCCTGTTTCTCATCATTTTCCTAAATACTTCTTTTGCACATTCTGCATGCCACTTTTCACCTCCACATCCTCTCTTAGGCAGCCCAAGACTTTCACACAACTGCATTTGGAATTGGCCAAGACACAGAAGCAGAATTTGTCTATTGATCCTGTGATTTTGGCTATGCATGAGCCAAAAGGGGGAAATGGGGAGGAACTGAGGCTGCTGGGAGCACAAGCAGAATTGATGGTACCTTCTATCTCTGGGTGTTTCAGAAGAATCATGAGCCCATATCTTAGGGTGGTGCTGGTTGTCTCTGTTCCTGCTGCAAACAAGTCAACTGTGGCATTCACCAAATTATCGTGGTCGAACTCTGACGCACCATTGTCTTTCTCCTGGAGAAGATGCAGAACAACCCATCAAGTCAAAGTAATTGAGCAGTATAGGAAATGATACTGGAGAGAGTATACATCAGAACAGCACCAGTGTATTAGTTCTGGATTAAAAGGTATTAAAACCTGTGTTGGGACAAAACCTGGCCTGAAGATGAATAGCAATGAGTCCAGGTAGCAGACCCTCCTGCAGGTTGCCCAGAGCCTTCCAGATTGTAGGGATAACAGCACCTTAACTACAGTGGATGCAACATGGAGGCATTCCCCACACTCCTTCTTCCTTGCAAACTCAGCCACTATTGGCTTCGTAAGTGTTGTGCCTGAAAGTGGGCAAGGAGGCTGAGGGACCACCAGAACATCCCACATTGTGGCAGTGCCAATCTCCTCTATTCCCTGGCCCCGGGAACACCTGTTCAGCCCTGTTTCTGAGGTCATGCTTGTGACATTGAAGATGCAGCTGGACAGTTCTCTCCATGCAGCATATGGGCTGGGGAGGTACGGCTATGGGCCTGAGTGATTTTCCAACCTTGTAGCTTGCTCTCAAGAGAGTGTCTATCAGCCATAGGATTGAACTGTCTTCCCCTAATGCAGGAAGTGGATATTTTTATCAACAAGGACTTGTTACCATGGGAGCTTGCTTGCAGCAGTCTTGATTTGTGGGGTGCTGTGGGTGAAAACATCTAAACTGCCCCATCCTGGGGTTTGTCCCAAGGAGTCCCCTTTTGTCTTACCCGGTCCATCTTAATGTAGAAGCTGTCAATAAAATCCTGAGGTGCGGATGGATCCAGAGTAGCTTTATGCGCTTTAATCTGCTCCAGGACAAAATCTTTCAACCTTTGCACATTCTTTTGCACTCTGTGATGAGGCCCCGGGATGGCAGCCATGAGAGAGGGGAAGCTATTGTAGAGCTAAGGGATGGGAGCAGAAACAGGTCAGCTATTTTGATGCTTCTCTTTTATGGGAAACTGCAGAAGCTTTGCAATCAGCCTGAGCGGATTCCGCCTTTCAAATGCAGCCAGATTGCCAGAGGAATTGCTATTCCAAAGAAGCAAGAACAGACACATATTCAAACAGCTGTACAAAACTGAGGTGGGAGGGCCTCCCAGCTTAGCAGTATTATTCAAATACACACAGGTGCAGTGGGTTTTCCTGCAATCTTCAGGCACCCACTCATCTCTCTCCCAGAGCTGATAGCTGGGGCTATGAACCATCCTTCTCGTTTGTGGCTACTTGGTTCCATGCCATCACTCAAGCTTTGCATAAGAGTTGGTTAAATGCATGTACTGGACTAATGGAAAATCTCCTTAGGTGATTTCCAGTCATAAGCCCTTCCTTTCCTCAAGAAAAACCCTACAGGCCAATCAACAACTACACACTCACACACACACCACACACACTGCTAAAACATCAGATTATTTTAGTATTAAAATCAAAAACACTTTAAAGTATTACAGCATTAAAAAGTCAGCAATAGAATGAACAATCTGAGCAACACATTAAAGATCACATGGCTTCAGGGATCTTATGGTTTAACCCAATGTCTTAACGTATATCATTAAGACCCTATGTGAATATCCCTGCAGAAATTAGTTCACAGATGGGGCCATTACAGGGAAGACTCGATATGTAGTGATAGATACCAATTTGGAGTGCTTTACAAGTCAATTGGACCAATTCATGGAAGGTAAAGTTATCAATGACCATCAGGAATAACAGGCATGTTGCTGGGAACATGGGACACTGATGGAGAGATCCACGCTTGGCTGTTTCCTGTGGGTAGATGGTTATATACCTGGCGTGCTTGGCTAGATGGAGTCTTCTTAACTAGCATGGCTCTCCTAATGTTCTTAAGTTTTCAGGGTAACCCTGGAGAGAAACATCAGAAAGGGGTCTTCCTATCAAACTTAGTGGAAGAAGAGGAGGAGTGAAGGGGGGAACTGTTGTGAAAACAGGAACCAACAGCCATTTTCTGGATATGCAGCCAGTTCATCAAAACAGAGATGTGTTGATTTTCTTTGCTTATGTTATAGCCAAGGACAAAGCAAATTTCCCATTCTATGTGATGCCTTTTTAATTGTCTAAATGTAAACTGTAATGCAGTCTGAAGCCTTACCTCAGTTCTGTGCATCTGGTTGAAGGAACTATATATGTAAAATGGGTAATAGTTCTATAAATGTTATTCCTTACATTAAAGGCCCTGGGCCAGAAGAATGCAGGGACTCACCTGTCCCTGCAAAGAGCTTAGAACATGGAAGTTGTCATTCATTGAGGCAGTAAGAGCCAGAAAGTCCTTGTCATTGTACTCGTATCGGTTCCGAAAGACAATGGAGCAGATGGCATTACTTAAAGCACTGCTGAGCAGGTACGTTGGATCAATGGGCTTTCCTGGAAGAGCAAAACAGAACATCCCAATTCAGTCCCCCTTTAGGCAATAATCTAACCTGTAAATTCTAGGCTGGCATTTGCCATTGTCTTTGGACAGAAAGGGCCTTAGTTGGCAAGGACTAAGAAGGATGGACAAAGCTACTCCTAATAATGATCACTGTTATGGTACGCTGTACTGCAAGCATTGTACAGGTGTGAAAAATGTGCAAACCGTAAGTGCCACACACTGGCATGGAAAGAAAGAGAAAGTAATATGCAACCATTTGAGGAAGTAACATTGCTTATGAGTATTGACATGCAAAAGTTCAATGAAGTTTAAAGGGAGAAATGATGGAACAAGGGTTAATTAGCAAGATGAATGAAAGCATTAACAAAAGAATTTTAGGTCTGATTAGAGAAGAGTTAAGTAAAGTCTGGCTGTGAGCCAACAGATAAAAAGGGAGTTAGAAGTGTGTTTGCTGATAAGCATAGAATGACTTCAGTAAATGTAAATATGACTTCTGTTCCAAAGTAGAGATGTAAATTATTATTATTATTATTATTATTATTATTATTATTATTATTATTATTATAACATTTCTATGCCGCCCCTTGCCGAAACTAAATATGGTTGGTCACCCCAAACTAGCAAAAGAGGTGAGTCATAAGGGCTGTCGACTGTTAACCTATCAGCATAGAGAAAAATGTGCAAAAAAGTGTATGCAGAGTGTTTTATTGCAACTGTTCTTTGATACTACCTCTCTGAAGTATTATGCATGCAAGATAATCAAACCTCCTGCTAGTACTTTGGTGTAGCAAGTTCTTTTATTTTGTAAGGACTTCCAGATTGAACTAGAGGAGAGTACCAGCCTCTCCTGAGACTGAGCTGAGGGTCCCACCACAAAGTAGTGGGTCATAACATCAGTCCCCAGAAGTCTCACTCCCCCCCACACACAAAGACTGCAGAAAGGAAGTCCCATTTTAAAGCTCATTCACAACCAGTCAAACCTTGAGGATGGTTGAAAACTGCATAAGTGGAATTGGCCATTGGCCTTAAAACCTGTCGGCCTGTTTTCTACAAGATGGCCATGAGGTGGTGGACAGCATTTACCCTGAGTTTCCTTCAATGCTTCCTGCAGGCATTGGGCTTCATTCTGGATCCTTTCCTCAAGGCTTTTCTTTCCCATCCCAAAGTCTCGCAGAGTCGTGAGGGCAAAACGCCGGAGCTGCTTCCATCTCTCTCCATTGCTGAATATAATTCCTGGGAAAGGGAAAGCAAAACATGATGGGAGTGAAAACGTACCCTCAGCCTGGGCAAGAGCAGAAAAGAAAGAGGAGGCGTGACAGGGAAGCATACTTTTGCTGGAGGAGAAGCACTGGGAACGGCAGGGGTCCTTCATTCCATGGGAGTCAGTGGTTTTCTCACTGAATAATTGTCAGCTAGATAGTCTTCTCCCAGATAGCGATGTCCTTCATTCCAATACCACTCTGTTCTGAGCCTTTGTTTTTCAATCAAGCAGCAAATTATTGCCCTTCAAGTCTTACTCTTTCTTGAGATAGCTGTGGCATGCATTTTATCTAACTATCTAGCAACTAGTAAAAGGAGTTGTTAGCTGTTGATTCCCCACTTCCACTTGCTCATATGAGATATTTATCTTACTATGCAGCATCTTATCCATCTAGGAAAGTGGCCTCAAAGGTAATGTTATTGTTGCCATAGAATGCCAAATGCTTCCATTATGGAATGGAAGGGTCAGAAGTGTGTTTAGTTACAAGATGAGCCAGATTCCAGTGCTTATGTGGTTCCTTTGAAGTCCACCAGCTTATAAATACTCATAGCATAGAATTACTGATTAGTAGAGTTGGAAAGGGCCAATATGGCTGTTCTCAGTTCAGCCCCTGGCATTTCCACCCTTCCTGTCACCTGAAAATTATCATGTGAAGAACAAAAGCCTCCCAGCACCACCTTCCAAAGCCTACCAAGTCTTGAGTAGGGATGAGCAGGTCTATTACACCACAGAGACAATGATCTGTTGGGCAGAAAGCCATGGAGCCATGGTAATTCCAGGAATGATCATGCTTTAATGGTTTGCCTGAGAAGTGACTGCAGTACAGTTGCCTTAAGATGTCAGGCCATTTCCACTCCTATATTCACCTGCATGGTTTTCCCAGTTGCAATATATGACTGTGAAAGTTGGACCACAAGGAAGAACTGAGGCCTTGAACTGTGGTGCTGGAGAAGACTCCTGAGAGTCCCTTGGACTGCAAAGCGATCAAACCGGTCAGTCCTAGAGGAGATCAACCCTGACTGCTCTTTAGAAGATACTGAAGATGAAACTCAAATACTTTGGCCACCCAATGAGAAGGAAGGACTCCCTGGAGAAGAGCCTAATGCTGGGAACAATAGATGGCAAAAGAAGAAGGGGACGGCAGAGGATGAGGTGGCTAGATGGAGTCACTGAAGCAGTTGGTGTGAGCTTGAGTGGACTCCGGGGGATGGTGGAGGACAGGAAGGCCTGGAGGAACGTTGTCCATGGGGTCACGATGGGTCGGACACAAATTTGCGACTAAGTGACAACAAAATTCACCTGTATAACATTCAGCCATAGCCAAAGCATTTTTACCAGGACAGAAGATGCTCCCTGCTCCCCACCCAACTCCAGATGTGATCAGGCCTCACATACCCAGCCCTTTTATGACATCATCGCTTATTGGCAGTCTTCCTCGGGCTGCAAATTCATCTCCACGGTCAATCAGGGCTTCTTTTATTGCATCATAGCCATGTAGCACCACAACACGTTCTGCTCCAAAGTACATTGTAAACACAGGGCCATACTTCTCACTGAGCTGGGGAAGGGCAAAGAAGGAAACATAGTCAGGTGGCTTTAGGCAGAGCAGAGAGCTTTGGGAATCTCATGCAGTACAGCAGAGGACCCTCCAGGATCATTGTTGATGCTTGCAACCGGGTCCCACATCCAGGAACAACTTGAAGGGAAATAAAGAAGAAAGCTTTACAATGTTCAACAAGAGCATATGGATCGGCGCTCCAGCTTATCTAGTCTAGCAATTTGTTTGCTATGAGAAGAGAAGAAGTTAATGAGAAGGATAATGCTTCAGAAAAGGAGACAGAATGAAATACATTTTTAAAATACTGGGGCTTTTTAGTGAAGGATGGTATATAAAAGCTTTAAATAAACAGTTAATTAGCTAGCTAGCTAGTTAGTTAGTTAGTTCATCTGTGACCAAAACTAGGAATCAGGTTCTATGAAAACCAACTAGGAATCAGCTAATACTGAGACACACCTCCCAGCTGTTGAGGAAGGCATCACTCAGCTTACCTCATGAAATTTCCTTGGCAAGTTCTTGGCTGTCAACTGCACAACATTCCCAAGGATGGGCAAAGGAAAGGGGCCAGGGGGTAGGTGTCCATTTCCAGGCTTTCTGCTCTGGACTGCAAGGACAATGAAGCAAGAGATACAGAGTAGCAGCAAAAGGGTTCCCAGGAGCTCCATTGCTGCAGCCAGGTATGAATGGAACTGCTCTGGATGGAAGTATGGTAAAGTCAATGCATGCTCCAAGTTCTGAACTGAGTATTTATATGGATTGAAAAGTCTCACTATGGAGGTAAGTCCAAAGTTCACCAACTTATATTTCTCTGAGCCTATTGACTTAGGCACTACATAACCCGACATATTTGGTATCGCTTAAAAATGAACTCTGAACTTTGTGCTGCTTGCATTTCCTAATTCCTAATCCAATTGTAAAGGGTTTATCAGTGCACAGAACAGGGGTGGAAAGAAAGTTGGATCTGTGAATATTTTCAATGACATATACAAGGGCTGCTGTTTATGATTCCCGTATTATTTTTTTTACAAAGGGGATTCACACAAACCACAAAAGAAATATTTTATCATGATTGAGGACTTCCTTTCACTTCTTTTCTTCACTTGCTTTCTATAGCTGTCATTTTCTCTCTGTGTGTTTTCAGTACTGACATCTTCAGCTCAGCTAATACCGACTGGAGAATCTGAGAAGCTTTCCAATGCCAGTCTTGAATTTGGATCATATTCATATTTGGTCAAAAATTTTCATGCTAATTTGATGCTATGGGGAAATCCAGTTTCCAAATTGGGCAAGAGAATGTTTTTGCAGTGAGACTGCCAGATGAGATTAAATTTTCCTTTGGATCAAGAGGAGTGTTGAGTTTTGTCTTTGTCACATTCCCAAATATGATACACCAACGAGGGCTGAAGAACAATTCTTGCAGTTACAGTTTTTTAGTATCTGAGTCCAGCCAAGCATCTCCTTTGGTACTGGAAATTCTCATTAAGGCCAAGTGACCTACAATCCTATTTCTTATGGTGAAAAAAAATTGCCATATAGGAATCGGAGCAGAAACTGGGAAAGGGAGAGGATTCACCTAATCCATGCAGCCTTTACCTGCGGAGACTGTGGACATTGGGGTGTGTCATACTGAGCAAAAATTTGTGTTACGTCCACCAGATACTGCAAGATCTCTTCAGTTAGAGATTGTCTAATTTGGCAAATTGTTGGAGGTGCAACACAGTGAATGCCCCTTTTATGATACATGTTTTGGCAATGCCCAGTACTTGCCCCTTTTTATGAGGGGGTACTTATAGGGATATATTTTGCACTGAGGCACTACCTGGACTTTCAAATCATCTACCTACTTCCTGAAAGTTAATGCTTGTTCAGTGTAAATGGATTCTTTGCACATTCCTGACAGTTGAAAAACCAGATATCAGTGGAAGGATGAACATTCTCCTCCTAAAATGCAAGGGACTGAAAATGGGTTGTGATCTCCTCATCCTTTGGTTGGAGATCTACCAGCCCTGATGGACTGAAGGAATGTTATGACAATGATGTATCTCAACTTCACCCTTTGACAAAGTGCCCCATGATATTTTGATTAGCAATTCACTAAAAGTGGGCTGGATGGAGCAACTGTCAGGTGGATCTGCAGTTGGCTACAGAACTTAACTCAGAGAGCTCCTATGCCCATGCTGTTCAACATTCCTGCTCATGCACCTCATATAAAGAAAACCTGTATAAAATGTTTTATAGATGGTATCTGTTGCCAAATAAATTAGCTAAGATGTTTCCAAATATGTCAAATGGTTGTTGGAAATGTAAACACAAACCGGGTACCTTTTCTCATATGTGGTGGACCTGTGATAAGGCAAAAAAAATTGGATTAAAATACGCAAATGGCTTGAGGGAATGTTACAAAAACCTCTAATATTTAAACTCTACATTTTCTTATTAGGCATTGTACCTGATGATGTTGGTAATCAAGGAATGTATTTGATTCTACATGTAACTACTGTGGCAAGGACTGCATTTGCCCAACATTGGAAGAGGGAAGAACCACCTACCAACGAACTGATTTTAAAAGAGATCCTGGACTGCGCCAAAATGGACAGACTGTCTCTGAAGGAAAAAGAAGATACAGACTTCTATCAAACTTGGAATTCCTTTTATTATTGGCTAGAGAAATGGGACTATGCATAAATTTAAATATGTTTATGGGTTATCATAAGAAAAAGTATGGGGGGCTGACCCAGCAGGTCTGATGTTTCTGATGATTGATGATTTTTAGTTTCTTTTTGTTAGTTTTGTTAGTTAGTAGAAAAATAACAATCAAACTTATTTATTAAAAAAACAACAACAACATTCCTGTTCATGCTTTGAATGAGAGGGTACTGGGAATGCTGGACATCAGGAGAACCTTTCTGACTGTTAACAACAATGAAACCAGTTATCAAAGGAGGTTACAGTCTCTTCCACACTGGAGGCATTCATAATGCAGGTGGACCACAATTTGTTATTTGGAAACTTAGAAACAGAGTGAATAAGCAAGGGCCTCCCGAGTCAGCCATCTAGTCTGACCTCCCACTCCCACCAGCTCCGATAATGACATGCCCACCATGTGCATGTCCAGCCTATCCGTGCGCACCCTCGCTGATGGGGCTTTGACCACCTCCCACGGAAGCCCATTCTATGTCCCAGCAGTCCTAACCATCAGGAAGTACATGATTACTTTTGATTATTTATGCTGCAGTTCTGCACTGAGCAGAAGGTTGGACCCAACAGCCATATTTGCCTCAATGGCCTCATTGGAGCCTAATAACCTCACAGGATTGTTGATGTGAGGATAAACTGGGATCCTCACAAGATCAAAAATTAAATAAATGCAATTCAATATGAAGTACAGCTACTTCCACATGCCATGCTAGTCTCCCACCCAGATCTCCATCAAGCAATGAGCCAATTCACCCATTTCAACATATAGGTTAATTTTTCAATGAAATAGGTATCTCTTGTGTCTATAATTATCACTATTTCATGGGGATTCTTTTCATTTTCTTTTGTTAAGTAACAACCCAGCCCCCATTTATGGAACAAGCTCCCCAGGGAAATTTGCCTGGCACTGACATTGTTTTCTTTTCAGCACAAGGAAAAACTTTTCTCTTTAAATAACCTTCTATTTTAACAACGGATTTTAAATATTTATCTACGCAAGCATAAGGTTGTCCTTCTCACTTGTTGCATTCTTAAATGGCCATGTTAATATTGGTATTGTTGTATTATACGATGCTTTTATTACTCTAGTGTCGTTACTGTTTTAATAGTTGTGATTTTGATCATTGTTGTAAGATGCTTAGAGATTCCTATTGGAATATTAGTGGCATACAAGTATAAACATACATACACACATAAATTTCCCCTCTTTCTGAAATAGCAGCTGCTTATTGTCCCCTCCTTTCTCCTCCTTTTTACCCATACTTCTCTAGCAATTCATTAATTGCATTTCTATCCCACCTTCCTTCTCCCATGGAGCTCAAGGTACATCTGGGATGGTCTCCCTTTCCAGTACTGACCACTCAGCCCTGCATGTCTTTAGACCTGCAAAAGATTCTGCCAGCAAAACCCAGGCCAGCTCAGTTCACCAAAGTTCAGGTTGAATTAGTTCATTTTATAGCTGGGATCTGCTAGTGAACTCAGATACACTCAGTTATAGATTACAAATCCAGTGCCTGGCGAAGTCACAGTAAAGTCCTCAATGCTTGCATCAGAAAAATCCTTGGGCAATGAGCCAGGCTGGCTATTCTCACACGAAACACTAAAGTGGCTTTGGTTCTGCACATGGCAAGAAGGAGACCTTTGAAAATGTCCGTGTTGTAGTCCGGCCAGTGTAGGTTAAACATTCATGTTGCAACGTGTGAAAATGCAAGGCATATTTCAGCTCTGTGGGTGAAAATGGCCAAAACTCTGTGGGTAACAGATGATATAATGTGATACACTTTTGAGACTACCAACTCAATACGCTAACCCTAGCCCCCTTTGAACACACAGCTTACTTTGTTAACCAAATGTGTCTCGCCCTTTAATTGTAGCTATTGAGATTATATTAAAAATGGGTGGTTTTCAATAGGAGGAAGTGCTCCCCATTCCTCCTCCACACACCCCTCTTTGCATCTTCCTACTGCCACCCCTTGGTGGTGGGTTTCAGTGATTGCTCCTGTCAGCTCAGATCACAGAGGTGCAGCACATTCTAGGCCTGACCAGGCCTCCTCAGTTCACAGCTCACAGTTCACAGACCCAGCTCTGCAAAGTCCACTCTGGTTCAGGCAAGTTCACTTTGCATAAGCTCTGTATATTGACAGTTCAGCTGGGAGTTCATGTGGGTTCAGATGATTATCAAAACTGCATGTATTTGCATAAGGCTGTATTTGCAGATCCACAGGCATCGGAGTGAGCTCAGAATGAGACATTGTTCTGATCAAAGAAGCATAAGATCATGCTGTGTATCACTGGGAGTTACGTTAGCTAAGAGAAGGCTGCAAAACTCCTCCTACACTTGTGGATGAGCACAAATGTGTGTGCATGGGAATCCCAGTTGTGTAGAGCATGGGATCCCACAAGGCTTAAGCTAGAAAGATACATGCGCTGAAGATCTTTATCTCACCCTTTCCTCATGCTAGGAGCAGGGCTTCTCAAGCACTATAACAAACACATGTAGTTTTAATGCCTCTGGATGACTTAGACAGTGCTAGTGATGGGGTGGTACAGAAATGCAGTCCATCTGCGCAGAACAAAAGAGTCACACAGTGTCACTCTCAGACAATTCAGCTGTTACAGGAAGCAGCTCTTCGTAAGCCATCAAACAGAGAGACAACAGGTTCTGAAAGCATAGAGATGCTGGTGCTAGGCGGGACCCAAAGGGGAGAGCATCCCAGAAGAGGGCTACCCATGAGAAAGGTCTTTCCCTTGCTGCCATCCTCTGCCTCTCCTTCAGTAAAGGCACTTGTTGGAGAGTTTCTGGCACTGACTGTATGGTCTAATGGACTGTCTTATGTTCAATGTCCTCATTTAAAAAAAATAAATAAATGTCTTTGATCAATGTTTTATGGTGCCCTGTGGCCCCTGGTGGATTTTAAGTTCTGATTATGTGCATGACGGAAATGCAAGCATGATTTCCAGTCCCACGCACTTATGGCATAAGTTCTGCATGCCAGTGTTTTGTCAAACATT